CGCACAGCAGTCTCTCAACTGGCGAATCCAACGCTACAGGCCAGGCTACTGTTCAGAGAGAAGACGAATGCCCTGTGTCACTATACTGTGGTGAGCATCGATCCCGAGCTTTAGGGAGGTACAGAAAGTAGTGCGAGCTGAAACATTTTGTTTGAACTCATGTGTGGGAGGCAGTGTGCCACTGCAGCAGCTGCAGTCGGAGTTCATGCCTGCAGGGGACCTACTCCCCTGCGTCTTTGACTTCAACGACTGCTGAGGGAATTCTTTGGCAGCCCATGGCAAGGCCTTGGGAGATGGGCCACCGACGAAGGACCCTTCGCCTGGAAAGGCGCATGTCCGGCGGTGATGTTTGCAAGCTGTTAGGTAGACCAGGATGGCCAGGAAAATTTTGCGCGACTCCAGACTCTATAGGACTGTGGAAGGATGTCGTCTGGACCCGCGATGGGACGTGTAGACTGGGACAGATTGGCGCACAGACAGCAAGCGCGACTCGGAATGTATGCAGGGGTGAGCAACATCAGTGAGATCTAAAGCCACGGTACCCTGAGCATCCCTCAGCCTCAAGAACGGCCTCCATTTGCCAGGGTGCTGCACAGGAGGTATGCGCCCCAGGAATAGAGCAGTGCATCAAAAAGCTCTGAAGCCCCCAGCGCACCGTAAGAAATCTTTCGTCCGAGGTGGTGCTCAGCCTGCCAGGCCCAGCACCGGAGGAAGAGGCGCTTGGCTCTGTATTCAGGGCGTCGAACTTTTTCCGACGCAGTGCTCAAAGTGTACCTTTCAATTGGCGCAGAACAGGCGCCACGTAATTATGTATCATATAGGAATCATACACGAGAGGAAGCTTGGCAAGATGTCCCAAATCCCAAGCTGATGGTGCCGCTCGGCCAGCCTTCGGCTAAAATGTTTAAACCTAAAGCTGAAGGACACTAGAGATACCTAGGTCTAGATACACCAGTTTTTGATTCGGCGTGCAAGGTTGTTGACTGCACTGCCCTTCTGGAGGCCGTGATGCCCTGCTTCCTAGATCCGCTTGAAGCAAACAATAATGTGGCTTATCAGCACGACGGTGCGCAGCATGGTCGCCGGCAGATCTCAGCTTTGACAACCAGTTCTCGTCAACCTTGAGTAGGGCTGCCTTTGAAACTGCCCAGAGCTGTGTCAGCGTCAAGTTCGAGACACATGCTAACCCACCGCGCCAGGGTTGCCAGCTATAACGTGTTATGGAATATGCTGAAGCATGCCTCTGCCACAGGAGGTGGACATCTTGTGGAAGAAGATGCCGCCTCAGTTGTACTGCTTCAGAGGTCGAGTTCTACCCTGCTGTGCAGACTGTAAGCGACAAACGGCAGAGCTGTTAAGATGTGGCCTGCAGAGGCTGCTGGTCAAGCGACAGGGAGCCAGCGCCAACATGGGGGCACTTTTCAATGCCCGACGGCTGAAGGCACACACATACACCTTTGTTGTACATAGGTCATGAGTCCGCTCTGCTCTCTTGCTGAGTCTGTCATGTCCTGAATTTGCCTGCCTCAACGCTCCATGCGCAAGTCCAGGATGAGGTAGAGGAAGCAGCCAAGACCACCATCGACACTCAACAGAAGAAGGCCAGGAATACAGGTGCTGTGTGACAAGGGTTGGTCCAGCTTGCAAGCTTCAGAGGAAAGCTGCATCCGGCTGACTCCACCTGCTTTCCAGGATATCCCTGAGCTTGTTAATTAGTTGGCAATGCTGCTTCTGTGTTTCCTCAATTCTATGAAGGAGCCAGGTGTATTTGCCTTTGGTAGATTGTTTACGAACAACAATCATCGCCTGAGAAGCCTTGCTATGAAGCAACTGCTTGCTTCCAGGCCATGGCTGCAGGAAAGGCGAGCGCGAACTGCCTCACTCAGTAGCTGTAACTCTTTGGAGCTGTTTGTACTTTGAGTCCGGAGCCAGTCAACCATTCAAGTGAGTGGACTTCGAGCAGCCAGCCCCCAGCAGGTTGCCAACAAGGTGCATGCGGTGGACGTTGCCTCCTCAACGTGCATGTATCATGCCCATGCTTGGTTGATAGCCATGCTCTGCCTATACTCCTGAAGTATGTGGTAAAGAAGCCCATCATGGGAGTCTGCGGTATTGCAACATGGTCCATCATGCTCAAGGATGCCTGCCTGGCTTTGGAAAAGAAGGCCGCGGTGCTGCGAGTTATTGCAAGCACCGCAAGAGACAGTCCATGTCCAACAACCAGGCATGATGTGCCTATACTCCTTGCGCACAAGCAATGGGCAAAAGCTGGGTTGGCATTCTCACTCCTGACGCAGGCCGTCAAGAACATGGGCGTGGCAAATATTTGGAGGCATGTGCAGCTGTCGCGTGCTCCATAGCCATACATGCATCTTTACACTTGTTGCCGCCACCGCGGCCATTGCTCTATCATGCTGCGCTTGCAGACGCCACGATCTCGCCGTTCGCAGCGGCGGTAGCGGTCTGTGTGAGATTATGGTCCCACACGTGAAAGGCTGGGACGCTTGGTGTGGAAGTTGTCTGTGTTTGCGGGCTCAGAGGCAACTTTCGAAACTCTTACGGTAAGAATGTTCCTTGTCTCATGTTGTGAAAGCCCAACCCAAGGCGGTACAATGCGCGGATAGATCAAACCAGTGGTCTTGATGAGGAAAACAATTTGCAAAACACACTTCCATTGGGTTTGACTGTGCCCAAGGTGAGCTGGAGGTGCGCATGTGCGTGACCGGCGCCAACCTTTCTGTCGATCGAGGCTCGCTCATCCCGCAGGGGCACCGAGAGCAGCACATCGCAGCACAAACTATGTGGGTTGGATTCGGGGTTGGATTGGAGGTGTGCAGTAGCATCGTTGTTTGCAGTTTTTAGGTAATGCGGTCGTACCCCTTCATATTCTTGCCCATGTGCCTCACTGCGTGGTCTCATCCCACAACCTGTTGGCACGCCATTCTCAGCCAAGGATGGCACGCATGCAAATGGATGATTTTAGAAGGCTTCTAGCTGAGCCGGCAGCCCAGCCTTGTGGGTTTGTGGGTTTTCCCGTCAAGCATCTTCGCGCTTGAAATCGCTGCATGGGATTGGGCTGGAGTATCCCTGAACCCTTGATGGAGCACTTGCTTTTGCCAAACTATCAACGCATTTCAAAGAAGTCGGGCAGCATGTATCTTCCATGTTGGGGTACGGTGGGGGTAGGAGAGTGGTGTCGTAGTATCACATCCTGACGGAAACCTGGCACGGAAATCTACTGCAGTGGCAGCGTCCATGTTTGCCCAGGGTCGAGTCAGCGAAATCCGAGCAGATACGCTGGGCACTCATTTTTCTGTTTGCTGGGCCACTACCCGAAGGTGTTCGAGGTCTTTCATTATGTTTGAGCCGCAGGGAGCGCAGGTGCCAGTATCGATGGATAGGCTCTTGCTCGATTGGGAAACATATGAGTCTATGCTAGGGACTAGGGACGTTGAAAGGCCAGCAGCTTTAACAGAATACATGATCATAATTTCGTTTAATCTGGTTTGATTTCTGACCACCGATCTGCCCAATGTCGCGCATCAAGCCAGATATCTTTCCAAGGCTTGGAGACAGCGGTCACAAGCTGCAGCAGGGACTTGAAGCAGAAGCAGGGTCCTTGGAGCTCTGCAGCATCATGGGAGGGGCAGTGCTGGGCTCTTGGTACTGAAGCCCTTGCAGCAGTCGAGTTCCATCGAGAAGTGTCATCTGGCCGTGAGGGGCATCACTGGATGGCACACAGAACGCAAGTCGATCAGGAGCTCCACAAGCTTGCCTATCTTGATGCTTAGGGCAATCTTTTTGCTGCGGTGCCTTGGGGAACCACTTCAACTCTTCAAATCTCTGCGGCTGTGGCTTCAAGGCATTTTGCCGTTTAGTTGGTTCCCTTGTGTCTCATCGCTGCTGTGACGCCACGACTGCCATGCTCAGGACAGCAGAAGGGTGCGTAGATTGTACTTTTTTCCGAGCTTGGCTTCGAATGGCCCTGTGACTGAGAGTCTGAGAGTCCTACTTGAGCTTGGCCATGCAGCAGCAGGCTCTGCTGATCATCTTCTGTAGCTCAACATTCCTTCATCATGCGACATACTGGCACTGCTATGCACTGCTGAAATTTTTTGTTGTTGCAAGGATCTACCTGGCAACGCTTGCAGCGGCAGCGCATGCAGCAGCCATCAGCTCCGCCTGCGCGGACCATCCCCGACACTTGGACCAAGGGAAGGGATAATCAGACCATCCATCAAAGTTCGACAGCGTAAAATGTTCAATATTCGGGTTGGATAGTGGATACATTCATGAGCCGAGCTCCTCCCCTTGTGCAGCCTCATGCCTTGTGACTCAGAAGCCGCAGCAGGGTTGGGGAAGCCTAAGGCTGCGCGCATCTCATTGGCGAGTGTTGCCCGGAAGGCTGAGGAAACAGTCAAGTCACTGTCGCAGTGAGATCCAACCTGGAAAGCCCCGTAGCGACAGCCAATACAGGAGAGCACCTTGTACTTGAGCAAGTAGCACACGGCCACCACACTCTCAGCTGAGAAGGTGGCCCAAGCTTGGACTGCTGCAACAACGGCACTTCTTTACGACACCTGGCAGGCTGGGCTTCTAAATGGGGACCGCCTATGGTTTAACTGCCAGATGGGTGTTTTATGATGTTTTCAGCTAGCTGCCTGGCCTGTGCAAGGCAAGGCGTGTCAAAAAAATCAGCTCGCGTCAACTTGGCAACACACCGGCTGTGCAAAATAGAGACCAATCGCAGAACAGAAATGCAGCGGATGCTGATGATGCCGTGGCTGTTGGTTTGTTCTGGTGGGTCTGATGGGTGAAAATGACGACTTTGATGACATCGATGATTCCCCAAACGACCAGGTGCAGATGGAGGACTGAAGACATACATGTTCAGGGAAGGTTCGCCCTGGAAGGAAATGCATCCTTGTCATGCCAGGCAAAACCACCAAGGACTTTCACCTTTTACTTCTCGTGCGCATAGTCAGGGCTCGGTGTATTGTATGGTGCTGGCAAGACATTGTGTTCATCTTGGTGCTCTAACCTCTAGAAACACTTGCGCAGCTTTAGACAGCAACCTGCTCGTAAGTGGTGATGCAGGCGCCTACATTAACAATTACGATGGCCGCAATCCGTTGGGTATCCAACCCAATGGGCAGAGAACCTCGACTTAGAGTTTGGTGACGAACAGCCCAGCCAAGCATCCTGCAAAGCATCCTGCCTTGCAGGTCCAGAGTCCAGGTTGGATTGCCCAACCGCACAATAACAAGGATTCAGCTGGCGTGCGAGAGTGTGGACTTGAGTCCTGCTTTTCGACATCATCAGGGTAAGAGCTGTAGCTGGGAAGACTATGTTGCAGTTTTGGGACCGTCTCAATCAGTGTGGCGGAGAGGATGCTGCACGATGCTATGCTTACATTTCTGGATTCTTCCGGAAGACTCAGGAAGCCAGAACTACTTTCTGCTAATTGGCGACTGGGGGCGAGCTGACTCTCCTGGCCCCTGCCAGCGTGCGGTGGCAGACCACATGCACCTTGTCCATGTTTTTATTCCACTGCTCGAAGCTGAACGGCATACAGCATAGATTGGTGTCAGGAACCCCCCTCGGACGCATGAGGTTCCTCTGCTTTGCCCCAGTTGCGCGGAGAAGTCCGAATCCTCACGTTCTTGTGATCTCAGATTAGGAAAGCCTATGTTGCCCGTCAGCAACAGCAAGGGAAAAAGTTGTGTCTTGGCAAGCCAGAACAGATTCTTGTCTGTGGGACCCTGCAAGTCAAACTGTGGCACATACAGTAGATGAGGCTCTTTGTCGCCTCGGTTGGTGACAACTTTTACTGGAGCGGTGTCACACCAGGATTGCCTGTTGATGTGTATGCTCTCTCAGTACTTGGGCGACAGGTAGCCCAGCTTGTGTTGCAAGGGCTGTAGATGTGCAGGAGCTTGGGAGAAGTCTTGGTCTTCACTCTATGGCACAAATGACCCAGGCAGCCCGCTACACCAGGCCGTGACTGAGCATGTCCTGCCATCTCTGCCATCATAGTCATAGCAAGACAGGTTCCGTGGCTGTCCGTTCTGGGAAATCACGACCTTGGCAACGACGATCCATATGCCGCGTGCGCAGACCAAATGCAGGCTACGCGCAATTCTGACTTGCTGAGATGGCACTTGACGCAAGGAAAATAGTGCTGCTGCTCCCCGCAAGAGCAGGTGATATCTGCTATACAACCCGAGAATGCATTTGTTGTTTGGTTGAAGCCCCGGCTCTGCCAGCATGCTGGCAGGCTCCGCTTGCGATGGTCAATGGTCAGCGATACGGTTGCCAGCAGTTTAACGCGGACAAGAAACTTGCAGGCACACCCAATATCGAGTACTTGACATGAGCTATTTTGATCTTGTTTGTCTCTGCGAAGCCTCGGCAGCAGTTCGGCAGCTGAGGAACCCGAACAGGCCAGCCGACACTCGGTTGTACTGGCCCCTAGGCTCGAACCAGGTCTGTTGCGAGTCCTGCATTTGAAAGTAAAGGCGTTTGTGAAAACACCGGTTCAGATGGTTTCGGTGGTTTCTGAGAGTCAGGATGCCTGACTACAACTACCACTACGAGATCCCAGAAGCTGACCTAGAGGTCATCGCCCCTTAGCCCAAAGCAGAGGTTTGTTGGTCATTGCCTTTTCGATTTCCAACTTCTCAGACATCAGGCCATCGACACGAATCAAGTCGACACATGGCGGCATCCCAAAGTGTGAGGGCGTGATGAAGCTTCTTCGCCGGCTTGAAGTCCAAATTTTCCGGGCTGTTCTTGTCGATACTTTTGCGCCCGGTTCTGCAAGCACGTGAGCATTGATCTGAAGGTCCTTGTACTACCAGCATAGCAAGACATGGTTTCGCAGCAGTTTCACGATGGCTAGGACTCTCGTAGCCGGGGGTCTCATCTTGTTTGGGACAGGGGAGGGCATTACTTCTTGGACCTGTTTTGTTTCAATCCCGTCCTTCTCTCATAGACTCTAATAGAATCCTGGAAGCTATCCGCGCTAGATATTCTTTGGTCTCTAAGCCTAAGCCTATAGAAAACATGGCGCTGATCCGGACCGACAAAGGAAGTTTGCGCAAAAGTTCCGTGTAAGTACCGTGCACGCAGAGGTCACAATCTGTGGGCAAGAGCTCACAGTAGATAGGTGTGTATCATTGTTAGGATAGTGAGCCCAGTAGGGTTCTTAAAACCCACCCGCTTTGGACCTGAACATGTGGCTTGGAATCAAGCCTGGGGAGCCCCAGCCTCCGAGCTTGCCCTTGGCATGTTCAGGTCTAGGCGGCTTGTGGAAGCTTTGGGTTCAAGCATTGTACGAGGGGAAGGGTTTTGCAAGTCAGCGACTTGCCTATTCAAATGTAGCGCTTGGGGGTCTGCTGAGGGGCTAGCAGCTATCAGAAACATGTGCGGCGATGGGTCCGCGAAAGCTTCGCGAAAGTATTTTTCTCGCGAAACTCGTTTTTTCGGGATGAAGTTGAGATCAACGTCCACATCACAAGTAGGCTGGCCCGCAATGTTTGCAACGTGATGTGCATGGTGGATCTTTTGTCCACCCCGCACTCGCACTCAATCCGTTTTTTGATCGAGCGCACATATGGTTGAACCTTGTTGAAGGATATCGAAGGCTTCGGCGGCGATTCTGGAGGACGGGTGGAGTCCGCTGAATGTGCAGCATCGTGACACTTGTAGACGGCTCTCGTAGCCAGAAAAAACCAGGATGGCAAAAAGAGTTTAGGAGTTGCTTTCCTCCGCCTCGCAGGGCTGAACATCTTGCTTTACTGCCACTCCTGCTGGAGCTTCCAAGAAGTAGTGATTCTGAGGGTTTCTTTTGTTTTGAATATCCATGGCCAGCATGGAGCCGACAGGGATTCCATGCAATGGATAGAATGCCAGTAAACGTGCGGTGACTCGTCTTCAATGCCGGTGTCTCAACATGCCATCTGCGACGTGCTGAAGCGTTAGGAGCTTGGAAAATGGGCAGTGTATGTGGAGGCCAGGGAAACGTGGAGCATCTTGGCTACCTCGACAGCAACCAGCGTCACTGACCTTCATCCCTAAGCTGTCGGTGATGCCGTCCAAGCCATGCACGTGGCAAACTGTAGGCGTGGATCCAGATTTTCAAAATATACGAGCCCAAACATGCTGCAAATCGACATAAAGTGACACCCTTCAACATGCTTTGCGGAACACTTGGGCGTGAGCACAGTCAGCATGCTCTTGTAGGTTTACAGTCTTGCGTGGCGCAGCTCAAAGCCGCAATTCTACGACAGATTGACTGTCAAGGTAGGGGGCGGGGTATGCCAAGAGCAACTCTGTCGTTGGCAATGATTACAACTTGTGACAGCTTTGCTGAAAGCCTTCTTCCAGCCAAGGAGCTTCATGCAAAGGGTGAACCAGGCAGGTCAAGTACCTGAGCTGCAATCATTTGCCAGTTGTCCATGATTAGGCTGTTTCTTGGTGGTGCTGGTGCCTCGGTGCACCTGTGTACACTCCAAGGAGCTACTTCGTCAACGTGCAGCGCAAGGTACTGCCAAGACCGTCCTGAGCCTTTGGCTTAAGACGGGTAAGCAATGGAAATGTTAGCAGGGGTTGACATGATTTGACTTACAAAATCGGACCCTGGTTCTGGGGAAATAGGAAAATGGGAAAGATAGAAAGCCTCCAGACCCTGAAATTCAAGAAAATAGGAAACATTGGAAAATATAGGGCTAGCAGGACATTGGAAAAACAGTAGGGAAAATAAGAAACATAGGAATACATAGGAACACTAGGAAAACAATACGGAAATTATCAAATTTGCACCTACTCTTTTCTAGTTTTTTCAACTTTCCAAATCCTATCTGTTTCATATTTTTTCTTTTTTCTTTTTTTTTTTCTCCGTAAATTAGATATCACCACTTTTTGGACATTTCCATATGCAGGAACCATTTACCCTTTGGCTGCTCTAAGGCGATTCGCTGCATTCAGACCTTACTGTACCTCTCAACGCTGCTTCTCCACAGTACTCTCCAGCTGAGGATCATGCAGCACTACCCGGGACAATGTCAGAAGGCAGCTGGCTTCTGAGACAAATCGTTAAAGACAGTGTCAATGTTGCTTTTTAGCTTTTGTGTACTGAGTTTACTGTGCCCTGCATTTTACGCCCATGGCCATCTTAAGTAGGCCCGTTGCACTGATTGCACCAGGCATGCAAAACTAGTAGCATCCTACAAGCTCTGTGCCACCATTCGATAGCTTCTGTTAGCAGGACATTTTCCTTTCGGCGCTGCGGCCAGGCCGCGAGGCATCAAGAGAGAGCTGTCAGGGTGCAGTCACACCGAGTGCATTCTGCCTATCAGAAGCTTGCTTCCGGCGTCTCACAAAGCCAAGATTTTGTGGATGACCTGTTCACCAAGAGTTGAGCCGTAAAATGTGGCCCTATTTCAAGATGCTGAGGTCTGAGTTTAATGCTGCCGCTGTAACCAGGTGAACGTCATATGCGCGTATGGCCACGACCACACTCAACGCTGTGATGGAAGCGCGTCATGACTGAAATGAAGCTTTTGTCTCTGCCATCTGCTGCTAGCGGCAAGTTCGGGTCTGTCTGATATGCTGCGAGAGTGTACCGAAGATTACCGAAGCATACCGAAGCATATGGTCCGATGCCGATATACGGCACAGAAGCATTTGGCAGCTGTTGCTTTCTATCTTCATCTGTCTTCACTTGTCACGGGCAACTGGAGCAGCAGACAGTTAATCGGGCGCTCGGTTGAGTCAGGACGGCAACGGGCAGTGCAACATGATCCTCACAGGCGGTGGGGGCGGTTGCTGCGCCGGAGTCATCAGTCGTGCAGGTGGCCTGGAACTGACTGCGCAGTGAAACACTGTGGTTTTTGCGGGGCTGTGAACGGGATTTGCTGTTTATTTGGGCACTGATGCTTTGCTGATTACAGAGAAACCCTCTCTACCGTAGTGTTCACCTGCAGGCGCGCCCAGTCCTCCTTCATATGCGCCGGTGTACGCCCGTCCTCTGTCGCAAAGTAGCAATCAATCCACAGGCTTCGCTGCCATCAGCCTATCTGATGATGGAGGACGCGTTGACCACTGCTGGGGGCTTGATTCTTGTCTTCGGCTCCTTGCAGCTCAGAGATGCTTTGCCATGGCCAGGATTTGTGTCCGACGTGCAGTCCGGCGACGTCGTCGTTCCAGATGGTACCTGCCGCATGGCATGCTAATGAGAATTGTTGAGAATTGTGCAGCCGATGTCACATGCAACAGACAACTCGTGCTACTCGCGCGCTCGAATCACGCAAGAATCTCTGCATGAATGCTACATGCAAGCTTTCGCAAACTCAGCCCAGGTTACTGGCGCCGGCTCACATTGTCCGACTATGTTTGAGCCAAGTTCGCCCACCTCTAAATCAAGTTTTCAGCGCTATACGTGGACCGGATGCTGCAATCAGATTGTGTTTCGCTGGTGGTTCGCAGTTGAAGTTTGCAGTGGCTGCCAAGCATGGTGTTATAACTTTCCCAAGTGCAGAGCTGGCTGTGCATAGTTAGTGCACCGAGTAATGACATCACTACATTTTCGCTGGGCTGTGGATCCTGCTTTTGCTCGTTGCCAGGTACATTTTTGACGCAGTCTGGCGAGAGATCTCCAGAAGTAATTCAAGCCGTCCGCAACCGAAGCTTGCAGCGGGCAGTCTATGGCAACAGAACAACTGGTGTGCATTCATCAAGGCCTCCATCTGAGTGCACGCTCTGTAACCCCGTACATCCCCCAGAAGTCAGTCCCGATAGCTGAATTCCCGCCGCGTGTCTGGTTGACGGGCACTTTGCATGAATTCTCCGAGCAGGTTGGGCACTGCAGAAGGGATGTGGCGTTGTTGGATGTGCAGCTCTAGAGTTTAGGGGAACTCTGGCTTAGCCACCCCTTCTGCAAGGTGAGGCAAGTACGCATGACTTGTCCTTACAATGGCATGTAAGCGAAAAGAGTCTCACTCCGTCTATTTAATTAAGGGTGTCAAGCCCAACAAGTCATGCCGGCCAGAAGCATTCAACCTGCAGTAGGCGTGGCATAGCCGCGCCAATTTTGAGGCACACCTTCAGCAATAGCTTTGGTTGCCTGAAGCACCAATACCCATTCTGCACCTGTTGTGTGGTGAAGAGGGCGCAACATGGGAAGCCCTCTCAATTCTGATTTGATGTTCCCAGGATTTTGCAGGCATGTCCAGCCACAGCGGCGTTTTGAGTGCTGCTGCAGCCGATTTGAGGCTGTCAGCGTGCTCAGATCAGTGAGGCTGTTTGCTGGATTGCCAGTCAACGCTGTCGCAGTTTTAGCAGCTGCGATCCAGCGTGGACACCTCTCTTGGCCTTTTCCCGGCTCTTCCGGAATGGGAACAAAGGACATGGCCAAGATGACGCCATTCAGGCGACTGCCCAGCCTAGAGGATGCCCACTCCAGCTCCGTTTTAGTTTGATCACGCAGCATTTCACATCACAGATGGGCCTCACTCAGCTCTTTGAGCATGACCAGGGCCTCTTCTGGGTCAAGGCAAATGCAGCAAAGCAGCATGTCTTATTCCGCAAAGATGTTGGGCTCTGCTACCACAGCAAGATAGGCACCTAGCGGCCAATCTCTCTGTGACAGCATCCAACAGCTCTCCCGGGGTGATGGACTTAGCCTAGCCGCGCTTCAATGTTTCTGATCTCTCAGGCTAATGCAGCCCAAGCGCAAGACTGTCTTTGCCAGAAGGCTAGTATGGGGTGTGGCGCGTGTAGGGATCTCCAAGCCTCGCAGGGGCAATCTTCAAGAACGCCGTGCTCTCTGAAAATCAGCAGGCTCCGGCACAGACTGGCGCAACCTATCGTTTTCCTCATAGCATCTGCGTCCCGTCTGAGTGGCTTGAGAATTTTACTAGCTCCTTGTTCTACTCTTTACTTTGGGCAGCACTTTCTTTCTTCGCCGCCGCTTCTCAACCCACACGGCTATCTGCGAGGGCAGAGCTTGCGTTAAGCAGAGCTCCAAGAAAAAAGTGACGGCTCAAGGATTTGTTGAACTTGTTGTGGGTTATGTAGGATTTATCATATGAGTTGGAGCTGGTGGTCCTGGACGCTGCTCCGCAGATACTTCAAATGTAGGGCCATCTAATTAAGGCATGCTGAGGCAAGGTTGATGTGCTTCCAGCAATACCTAAGGCATCAGAAGCTCATCGATCAGATCGAGAAGGAACTTGAGGAGCTTTGCTGTCTTCATGTTTGGATGTACCTCGGCTTTGAAAACTCATCAGTTGGGCTCCAGTCGCTGAGCATGCTCCACAGGTGTGGCTGGTTAGGTTCTGGTGACCTGGAGATTGAGCGTGGCCACAATGACCACGTTCAGGGTGTGTACGTAATTGTTGTGAGAGAGCTGCTGCATCGTTCCTGGTTCCAAACCCTCTGCATAGTGTGAGAAGGCGCTCGGCATTGTCGCTGCATAATTCTTGTGGTATAAGGAAATGCAGAAATGCAGGCATGCTGTGTGATATGCTCCCCCAAGCCTCAGCGGCGGCAGGCGTTGCTTGAGGTCATTGTGCTGCCTTTGAAGTTTCACTCTGGCTGCAAGGATCATGCAAGCGACCCTGTATCCAGCCATACCTAGACTGACATACATCCAACCCTCCACCTGCTCCAGCTACATTTCGCCCGTAACTTTGACACCTCAACCCAGAGCCAGAGAGCATCGCCGAAGCCATGAACAGCGTGGCTGCCTTGACCGCACCGCTTGCACCACCGCCGCCGCCCTCAATTTGCCGAGCGGACTCCTCGCCGCCTGGCTGCTGCAAGCTTCTGCCCTGTCAAGTATAGAAGCAACTGCCGTGCTTGCAGCATGGCCTTGCGTGCATCCGGTGCATCATAAGCCGCTTTCTGATGTTCATATATGTTCATTGCTATGCACAGGCTTGTGTTTTGAAGCAAGGATTCCCGTCTCCATCTGCGAGGCACGAAGTGGTTTGACACATGTGACCCTTCAAATCCAGTGCCATGCGAAAGAAAATCCCATAGCACCGCAGAAGTGCTACAGGAGGAAGGTGGTTGCGCTGCCATGGTACACGGGCACTTGAAAAAAGGAGTGCCTTTCGGGATGGCGCTGAGTGGTATCTGAAACAAATTTTAATTTCAATCACGCACGAGACCTCCTGAGAAAGAATGGCGACAGGTGCAAGATCTTGACGAGCTACAGCAGCATGCAGCGGCACTTGCTGAGCCCGCAAAGTTGGCGCTGCCACTGATGGTGATGTGGTCGCAAGTCGAGGGTCTGCGGGGCGCACGCCTGTTGAAATGGGGTTTGCGAATTCATGCAAAATGGACTACGTGGGATCAAACTTGTCAGTTCTCTTGCCAATGTCCGGCTCAATTGTTTGACCCTGCCAAGCCCTGCTGCATAATTAAGGTTATAGGCGCCGGAAGAAGTCAACTGGACCAAAGATGCATCCCAGTCGCAGTCCAGCCAAAGTTTTCCTGTACTTGTACCAGGTTCACACCGAAAGGAGGAGGGTGGGGGAAGCCGAAAGGATCCGAAACGTGCATCAAAGTTGCATCTCAATGGTGTTTCGGGTTGCCCTCATACTTTCCACCCATGAGCAACCGGATCCTTAACACGCATCTACAAGGTGTCTGCATGATGCCTTGATTTGCCAGAGTACTTCCTAAACCATGAGCCTTGCACAGCCTTGGCTGCTATTCTCGCGCTCGGTTAGCCTTGTGGCTCAGGTCTTGTGATGAACCCCCGTCACCCAACAGGGCTACGCAGTGTTTTCGCAGACTGGCTGAGAGCACTGACAGACAACGGGTGCCTTCTCTGATCTGGAAATTGTGTCATGATCTCTTGATAGCCGCAAAATGCAGCTAGAGTGTTGACCCATCTCCCGGCCAGGGCCGTCTCCATTCGGGGTCTCTGGGGCGCCACTGCAGACATCAATGGCGTCCTGAGGTCACTGCCTGCGACAGATAGAGGCCAGGAACTCGTCACTGCGCTGCTGTTATAGCCCAGAAAGCATTGTGGCGCTTGTGGGCTTCTACGTGGACTTTTGCGAAAGGTTGACAGTTTGTGGTCGAGAGCTGCACTGTTTTTTACCTGAAACGAAGCGTGATCGCGTGTCAAATAGGTCAGGACACGAGACTGACACCAGGACAATCTGCGCGGGTTCTGCTCAAAATGCTGCTGTAGATCAGGTGGCCCAGATGCAGCTGAGCCCGAGGAGGTTGTTAAGGCCAGGCAGCTGTGCCACCATGTAGCGGACTTTGGGGTAGCGGGTAGCTCACTTAACTTTGTTTCTCACGTTATAGAGACTAAGTCCAAGGCGGAATCCTCGGTAAGGGGATCCTGGCCTGGCTTTTGAAACCAACAGCTTCCTGGCCTCATCGTCATTAGTCCTGTGTGAGAAACGCTAAAGGTTCTGGAGTGCTGCTAGGTTGTCGCCTTGGGCATTTGATTGACTGGCCTGATCGAATAAGCGCTTTGACAAGAAATCTTTGGTCCCTGCTGGCCTCAAGTGGTCTCAGACTCCAGATTCCAAATGCTCAGCATCTTGAAGTATAGAGCCTGAGATGTGTATTTTTTGAAGGCAGGAGCTGCAGCTGCTGAGTCATCGTGTCAACTTGTTGCAGACAGATTGCTGCTCCGGAGGCTGTTGAGAGCCTTCTGTCGGCCGTTGGCGTTGCCTCATTCGTGGCAATTGGACTGGAGCTCAGCCGCGAAGTCGCTGGCGGTGCTTTTGCAAGCTCGGCCGCTGCCTTGGAGGGATCAAGGGATTGCAGGGACGGCTTTTGCAGGGTCTTTGCATGTCATGGTGTCTGGATCGGTTTGGCAGCGGCTATGAGAGTGCTCTGCTGTGCTGTTCATCTTTCCGGTCCCTCCAAAACAGTTCTGACAAATGCGTCTCTTCCTCGCTCACCTTCATCACGAAGACAAGGTGCTTCAAATAGCAAACTTGGGTTTCCGGGCTTCCCGTGTTCCTTTTGCAAGACGCAGCAGGGAATCGTGCTCTGTGAATAAGCCAAGGAGTGGTGCTTCTAAGACATTGTCGCTACCGTTAATTCCGTGACGAACACGGGTTTGGGCAGATGCACCTGCATGAGTTTTCCTGTCTCACTGGATTCGTTTGTAAGGGCTTTCAACACATGTCCCGACGTTGGTTCCCTGCATGACTGCAGAAATTTTCATTGCGAGGCGAGCAGGGGGAGTTGTAACATATGTCTCTACCTGAGTTTGCGTGTCGCTGCAATGATGTAGCTGCAAGCTGAAGAGGGTGTTGAAGAGTTGTCGGTACCCCGAAACACGACGCAAGTGATGATTAAAATGCAGCAAGCAACTCTTTTCCTCCATTGGATCTAGGCTAAGCCGCAATCAGGTTGCAG